TGTTTGGGCTCATTGTTTAGAAAAGTGAACAATGACAATGAACTTCATAGGGTCTTGGGTTGGGAGCTGGAGGGAGGCAAGGTCAAAGGTCTTGGTGTCTTGATCAAAGAGACTGGTCCTTTGAGACAGCAGTGCATTGTCCCAAGGCCTGATGCCCCTCTCCAGGCTCCAAAGGAGACAACAGTGTCAAGGGAAGTGCTGGAGACATTGGGTCCCTTGGTTGGATTCCTGGGGATAGAGAGCACACGACGGATCCCCCTACAGATCCTGCTGGCCCATCTCAGTCAGCTGCAGGGCATCTGCCTAGGAGAGCCATTTGCCACAGAGCTGGGATGGCTGCTGTTGCAGGAGCCTGTTCTTGGGTACGGACCTCCGGGAACTTCAGATTCTAACTCATTCTTCACCCACCCTCTCAACCACCCTTATCAGTGGCAGCCCATTCAATATGCTTGAGGTCCTTGGAGCCCTGAGTCCCCAGTCCCAGCATGTCTTTCCTCTTCCTTCTCACAGTTCACTCAGCATCCCAATCCCTGATCTTCTTTCTGTCCCTCAGGAAACCAGAGTTATGGAGCCAGGATGAAGTCGAGCAAGCAGGACGCCTAGTATTCACTCTGTCTCCCGAGGCTATTTCCTTGATCCCCAGGGTGAGGTGAAGGAACAAGGGAGGGAGTAAGAGCAGAGAGGGGACTGGGGAGCTGGTTCCAGGGAGCTAAGACCAAGGAAGTTGAGGGCAAAGGGTGTGAAGCCCAAATTTAGCAGTGGTGGGGGGGGACTGCTAAAAAGAGACAGGACTTTGGAATTACAGCTGTAGCAGCTGGCCCTGACCTGCCCGGCTCTGCCCACCCTCCTTCTACCTTCTCACCCAGGAGGCCTTGGGCCCAGAGACCCTGGAGCGGCTCCTAGAAAAGCAGCAGAGCTGGGAGCAGAGCAGAGCTGGACAGCTGTGTGCAGGGCCACAGCTCACTACCAAGAAAGCAGCCCTGGTAGCTGGGTTTGTGCGGCCCACCGCAGAGGATCTCCCAGGTGAAACTCCCCACATGCCCATACATGTAGCATGGTATACAGGAAAGAGTATCCAGCAATGCAGTCAGACTTGTGCCCTTTAAGCAGATTTGTATAACTTCTCTCTAGGCTGGGGTTTTCTAACCTCTAAAGCACAGAGGTGTGAGGGATGATCTTCAAGGTCTCTTCTAGTTCTAGGGTTCTATAGCTCTGGGAATTTATAACTCATTATATTTTTAGCCCAGGACTCCCCTTTCCCTGCTCGCTTATCCCTGTTAACAGCTAACTCAGCTCTAGGCTTGATTAAGCGTGGAGCTCTCTCCTGGGAAGACGCTTAGGATGGAGGAAGGTGACACTGTGGGGCTAGGGACCTGGGTTCCAATCTAGATCTGCCATTCAGTCCTTGAGCAACCCCGTCGGTCTTCCATCTATACAATGAGGGGCTTGTCCTCTCGTCACTTGTTCTAATATCGAGTCCTATAAATCTCACACTGTAGTAATCCCTTGAGCCATGCTGCCCATATTGCCCTGTCCTTCAAAGGTTGGGGGGGGGTCATTCCATCTATAGCTATCTCTCTGGGCATACTTTAGTACTACACTGACCCCCGGCCCTGCCTTCCCCCTTTAGAACCTGTGCCAAATTGTGCAGATGTACGGGGAACATTCCCATCAGCCTGGTCTGCAACCCAGATCGCAGAGATGGAGCTTTTAGACTTTGAAGACTGCCTAGCACTGTTTGCAGAAGACCCAGGACTTGGGCCTGAGGAACTACGGGCAGCGATGGGCAAAGCAAAACAAGTTAGTGATGGAGAGTCCAGTTGGGGTTGGAGGTGGAATAACATGAGGAAGCCGGTTGGGTGTGATATGGAACACAAGGGAATGGATAGCTGGGTGAGGGGTGGGGGACAGAGGAGATAAAAGAATTAGAGGGTTTGGATCCTGAGTAGGAAGTCAGAGGGGATGAATACTGAGGGAAGGAAGCTATTGAAATGGGTAGAGGGACTAGAGAAGTGGTTACCAAACTTTAGTGTGTATCAAAGTCATCTAGGGAGCAGGTTTTTTAAATGCTTATTCGAGGATCTCATGCTAGACTCACTGAAGAAGAATCTCTGAGGATGGGGTCTGGGCATCTGCATCTTAACAGTCACCGACCGCCCCCAAACCCCAAGAGTCTGGTGCACGTAAGAGTTTAGAACTCATGGACTAGAGTCTGCTATTCTTCACTACTGAGATTCTAGAGTCTTTTAATAACACCTTAGTCAGAGGAACCTTAATCCAGTCCTCTCATTTTACAGTTGAAGAAATTAAAGACCCAGAGAAGGCAAGTGATTTGTCCAGAGTTACACAGCTAAGGTCAGAGGCAAAACTAAGACCCAGCATTCTGACTCTTAATCCAGTGCTTTTTCCATTCACACTCTTCCTCTCTTTCTCTAGTTGTGGGGTCCCCCCGGGGGATTCCGTCCTGAGCAGATCCTGCAGCTGGGTCGGCTCTTAATAGGCCTAGGAGAGAGGGAACTACAGGAGCTGAACCTGGTTGACTGGGGTGTGCTGAGCACCCTGGGGCAGATAGATGGCTGGAGCTCCATCCAGGTAACATCTTCTCTCCTCTCTACCACCTTCCAAACACCCATCCCACAGATACAGGCCTCTAGGGCATCTAAAGCCCAAGGAATTTCTTTCCTGTGATCCTGCCTGGCCATTCTTTCTATCTTTTCCTAATACCTCATACTAGTAGCCTTAGGAACTCTGTGATTTATTCACTCTGAGGCCCTGGACACATAATACTTCCTTCTGCCTCCTTTCCCTTTTGCCTTCTTTTTTTCCATCCTTCTCTTTTTTGGATCCTCAACCTTTCCCATGGCCATTGGATCTTCAGGTCTTTTTTTTTTTTAAATAAATTTATTTATTTTATTTATTTATTTTTGGCTGCATTGGGTCTTCATTGCTGTGCGTGGGCTTTCTCTGGCTGCGGCAAGCGGGAGCTACTCTTGGTTGCATTGCATGGGCTTCTCATTGCGGTGGCTTCTCTTGTTGCGGAGCACGCAGGCTTCAGTAGTCTTGGCTCGAGGGCTCAGTAGTTGTGGCACGTGGGCTTTAGAGCACAGGCTAAGTGGTTGTGGCGCACGGGCTTAGTTGCTCCGCGGCATGTTGGATCTTCCTGGTCCAGGGCTCAAACCCATGTCCCCTGCATTGGCAGGCGGATTCTTAACCACTGCGCCACCAGGGAAGCCCGGATCTTCAGGTCTTAATAATAAAAAATCCAGTAGCACTTGTCCCTTCCCTAAGCAGTTGCCCATCCCTGACTTCCCCATGACTTCTCTCCTTACCCTGTGGCCTCCACCCCCACCCCAGCTCCGGGTTGTGGTCTCCAGTTTCCTGAAGCAGAGTGGTCGGCACGTGAGCCACCTGGACTTCCTCCACCTGACTGCACTGGGTTACACGCTCTGTGGACTTCGGCCAGAGGAGCTGCAGTATATCAACAGTTGGGAGTTTAGGTCACCTGTGGAGGAGGGTGTGGGTGGTGGTCCTGAGGGAAAAGTGGGCTCACTGGGGAGGGAAGGATCATGCAGGAGTGGTCCCATGGAGGAAGGGATCTCACCTGAAGCCATTTCTACCATCAGCTCATGACCATGGACCCTTATCACCATGGCTGAAACCTTCTCCCTTCCTTCCCACTCTTCCACAGCCAAGCAGCTCTCTTCCTGGGCAACCTGCATCTCCCATGTTCTGAGGAACAACTGGAGGTTCTGGCCCAGCTCCTTGTGCTGCCTGGTGGTTTTGGCCCAGTCAGTAACTGGGGGCCTGAGATCTTCACCGAAATTGGTACAATAGCAGGTAGGGAGACTGGGCCACTGATGCTGCTGGTTGTCAGGGGTTGGTTTCCATACCATGGATGGACTGGTTGGAGGACTGCTCTGGAATTCTTAAGGTGGGAGTCTGAGAAGGTATTTAGGTAAGAGGTTGGAGATGTGTTGGGGAAGGTCTATGGTAGGATACCTTGGGATTATCTGGAGAAGGCCAGTATAAGATAACATTTGCATGCCCATCCCACTTGCTTCAACAGCTGGAATCCCAGACCTGGCTCTTTCAGCACTGCTGCGAGGACAGATCCAGGGCCTTACCCCTCTGGCCATTTCTGTCATCCCTCCTCCGAAATTTGCTGTAAGTATTGATGGAGTGGGGTCTGGGGTGACCACAAGAGAGCCAGGGCCCAACAAGGGCTACAGTGGATGTCCTGATTCTTGCTTCCACCCCTAGGTGGTGTTCAGCCCCACCCAGCTATCTAGTCTCACCAGTGTTCAGGCTGTGGCTGTCACTCCTGAGCAAATGGCCTTTCTGAGTCCTGAGCAGCGACGAGCAGTTGCATGGGCCCAGTATGAGGGGAAGGAGACCCCAGAACAGCAGGGTGAGTTCCCAACTGCACAGCTTGACCCACCAACCCCTGACCCAGAATCTGAACCCTAACGTGGTACTGGTTGGTTCACAGAACCCTTCAGGGAGGTCCTGGAGTGAAGGGATCTACAGGCAGATAGTTTCCAAGTATCAATGGCTCCTGTGGAGCAGAGCTGTGATATTCTTTCCATTCTCTGTCTCATTATAGGTCGAAGCACAGCCTGGGGCCTCCAGGACTGGTCACAACCCTCCTGGGCCCTGGCATTGACCATCTACTTTCTTGGCAACCTGCTATGAGCCTGTCTCTGCAGTTAAAGAGAGAGATTGTTGGGAAAGACATTTTTTTTTGTTTTTTTTTGTTTTTTTTTTGGGAAAGACATTTTAAGTAATAATGAATAAAGTGCAAATGGAAGTGCAATCTAATTATCCTCAGGAAGCTGATGAGGAATATGGGTAAAATGCTAATGCTTTCCACCCACCTGAGAATCAGTGTTCCTGGCATGCCATATCTGGAGTCTCTTTCCATCACAAATAATCCCACTGCCTTTTTTTTCTTCTGGAGGCTAGTTCCTCCTCATCCCACCATTAGAAATAACACAACTGGAGCGTAGCCAGTAGTCTTTACTAGGACAGAGGGAGTGAGGGGGGAAAGGGAGGATCCAGAGTAAGGAGAATGGGCCACTGTTAGAATGGCAGAGGTCCTGGGAGTCTTGAGTCATCTGCTAGGGATGGGAGTTAATGCTTGTTGGGGAGAGGCGGAGGGACGCGGATATCCTGGCCTCTCTCCAGACGCCGTTCACAGTCAATCAAATAGTTTACTCCATCGATGACCAGCTGCACCAGCTCCACCTGAAGGACACTAACCCTTGATCTCTGCTTGCCACAATCTGACTCTCTTCCGCACTGATTTGACTGCTCTGGGAACTCGTTTCCAATTTCCTCCCCACTCAACCTGAATTTCATTTCAGATTCTATTACATTCCTGAGGCTCACTCCCTGTCACATCTCAACCCCCACAGACCTATCCCGAATCCCTAAGAATCTCACCTCTGACTTGCCCAGTCGGTCCAAATTAGAGATGTCAATGATGCCGCCTGTGGCAGCTGTGTCCACTCCTCCAGTTCCACGTTTTTGGAGTCTTAGGTTCTCTAGGATCTTTGGGAAGCGGCTATCCTAGAGGGGAGATAGAGATTGGGGGGCAGGGTCAACAGAGGCAGAGATTGGTCCGACCTGAAAGAGCCCTGAACCCACTCAGAGCTCTTCCCCTTGACTCTTTAGCTACACTATGTCTGCTCCTTTCCAAAATGCCCAATCCCTCCCACCCATACACAGCCACCTTCCTCCTTCACAACCCTCTAACTCCACAACTCCTTTACTTTGCTTAGCAGGGGCAGTTTGATGTGCACTCCTGCCCGAAGTCCAGTGCCTAGGTTAGATGGACAGGTCAAGATGTATCCCAAACGCTCATTCCACATGAACTCCCAGCCACGCTCCTGGATCAGCCGCTCCACCTGAGTGCAGAAAGGCTCTGTTAGTGAAAAGTCAGGGATATGCTAGCCTTCCCTTAGCTAGACCCACAGGAACTCTAGAAAATATGTCTAGAAACAAAGACTTGGGATGTGAAAGAATGACACTGATTTTTTTTTTTTTGGTGGAAATGGCTCATTATCATGCATAAAAGATAATTTTGATGTTGCAAGCCCATAATGATGAGATTGTGCAAAAATATCCTGTGTGGAAGAAGAGAAACCTGAGGGAATGATGCATTAAGGATGATCTAGGGAGATGAACAGAGGTGGTAAACTGAACTGAGAAAAGATCGATTATTCAATGAGTTCTGCATGCATTGACATCTTTACTTTGCTAATGAGCCTAGAGCTTGGAAGATTCTTTCAGCCAGAAAATGAGGTTGTAGGCTTTGCAACAGGAAGAGGCAAGGGAGCCTGTTAACTGTGGAAAGAGCACATGTGAGAAAGCAAGAGGAAGGTGAAAATGCAGCAGAAGAGCCGGATTCATAGTTGTGGAGGGTGGGGGAGGAGTGTGGGAAGCATGTTTTTGTCTCACGTAAACATCCTAATCATGAAGATGACTATTAAGAGTTGAAGAGACTGGAGATCTGCCGGAGTTGATGGACATGAAGACCACTACCTAACCTGAGTAAGGGGACGCTGTTCCTAGTTCAGAAAGAACCATGGCATAGGGGGATATTGTATATGATGAACAAGGGGAAATTCTTCCATCTAGAATAGTAACAGCAGTTAACACTTAGGGAACACTTATTACGGGCCACGCACTTTACATGCATTATCTCACTTAAACCCCACAACTTAAAATGTAGGAAGTCTTACTCTCCCAATTTTACAGATGAGAATACTAAGGCATATAATTTAATATGTTACCTATTACTTGCTAAAAATAACAGAAACTTCCCAGCCAAGATCTAAATGGAAGAGGAGCTCTCTCCCTTTACAAGTTCAAAATAGAACTGTATACATGAGAAAATACAATAAGGATTGGGTTTATGGGGATTTGTAATCTGGAATTGAATATGGAGACCTAATCCATATAGGACTGAGGATTCAGTTCAACTCCTCACGCAGAGCAGCGCATTTTAGAACTTAGGCCATTCCATCCTCCACCTTCCCTGGTTTCCCTCCTACTCTCAGCTTAAAATCTAGACATGCTACTTTAGCAAGAATGACAGAATCCAGAGTTAAGGCCTACCTTGGCTCCCAACTGGGTGGTTACATTAGAATCATGAACATACCAATCTCTCACTCCTTACATCCATCCAGGCTTAAACCTTTTCCTTATCTGCACATCCCACCATCCCACACCACACCCCCCAGGCACTGAGCCACCATCTCATTTATTCCTTCTTTGCATTATTTGGCAACTGCTTTATTTACTTCCTTAGACTCCTGACATTCTTTCTCTCTTCCTACTCTTAGGGTGACCACATATCCTGGTTTTCCCTGGACAGTTCTGATTTATACCTCTTGTCCTAGAGTGATTGGTGGTGATCCTTTTCACCATCAAAAGTATCCTGGGTTGGTTGATAAATTATATGGTCAATCTACCATTTTTCTTTTTCTTTTTTTTTTTGTGGTATGCGGGCCTCTCACTGTTGTGGCCTCTCCCATTGCGGAGCACAGGCTCCGGACGCGCAGGCTCAGTGGCCGTGGCTCACGGGCCCAGCCGCTCCGCGGCATGTGGGATCTTCCCGGACCAGGGCACGAACCCGTGTCCCCTGCATCGGCAGGCGGACTCTCAACCACCGCGCCACCAGGGAAGCCCCAATCTACCTATTTAAATTTGTTTTTTCCTCAAGTCCTCCCACCTAGTTCCCTTATACACTCTTCTCCGACCTCTTTGAGGCCTCGGCAGAATCTTTCAAACACTTTCTTCATGTTGCCACCCTTCTCCATGGAGATGACCCGTGTATGATCCTCCTCATTCACCCAGATCAAGAAGCTCTTCTCATTGTTGTGCCTGAAGGCAGGAGAGAGGGAGGGACAGGGATTAAGAGGCAGGGCAAGAATTGGGGGAGATAGAAAAAAAAGGGCACTTATAGGGGCAGGGGGTAAGCTAAGCCTCATACCAGATTCCACGAGCATCTGGCCAGTCTCGAGCCATTCCTGCTGCGGTCAATAATGGGGACACAGGTTTATCAAACAGGAAGTGGTCCTGGGGAGAGTAAAGGGACTTGGGTTAAGAATCCTCACAGTAGCCCCTGGGCTTCTCAGAGCCCATCTACCTCATCTGGCCCAGCCTCCCCTGACTCTTCTTTCCATCTGCCCCTCCCGCCCAGCTCGCTCTCAAAGCCCCTCACATCAATTAGCTGCTGCTGCTCAGCCTCTGTCATCTCACTGAGCCGATAGTAGCGTCCAGCCAGGTCACCCTTCAGGCCACTCAGTGCCTCCACCACAACACGCTCCACCTCTCGTCGCTCTGCCCGGGTGCAGGCTGGAGGCAGGCTGAGACCCCGGATACTTCGGCCAGTTCTGACTCTTGTGGACAATACATACCTCTCATCAAAGTAGCCAGAACGGATCTGGGGAATCAGAGAAATTAATGTAAGTCACAGAAACACAGTGGATGGGAGCTGAGGGCCTTTGGGAAGGAGAGACCTTAAGGACTAGAGGGGTCCTCATTGCCTGCAATGGAGGAAGCCCATTGGGCAAGCACTCCAACCGAAAGGGCGTTGTAAACCCTCCCCCAAACCTGCCCACCTTGGGGGGTGGCCATTCTCATCCACCCTCTCCTCTCTACAGAGGCTGCTCCTGAACATACAATTCTTTCCCCAGACAGACTAAAAGCTCAGCAGTATAATGACTATGAGTCAGGGTATAATTATGGTTGAAGGGACTGGAGAAACAGAATGTTGTATATAAGGCAATGCAAGTCAGAAGTGGAATATTCGACCTACCTTGCTGGCATCCAGGTCAGTGGTATGTTTCATCGTCTGGGGGTTATATCCATTGTGTCGCTCTTGGATCACAGGGTCAAACAGCTCAGCAAATACCTGAGGGGCAGTTCAGAGGAAGAGGGTGGTTAAGGAGAGGGAATCCCTTCCCAAGGTTTAGTTGTGGATTGATTTCACTGGGTGAGAAAACATGAGTATGGATGGTCCAGTCTTAAGGGTAAGTGAGGTCTTTAGGGGAAAGGAGCTGGGATTACTGGGGAGATAAATTGGGTCACCAGGGGAACTCTGGGGGCCCCCTACCTCATAGGTCTCCTCATCACCAGCTACCATGCCCACAGTCTTGATGAAGGGGTGGCCAGGGTTGTCCACGCCAGTCTGGATACATTGATCTAGCGTCCAACCAGTGGGTGTGGTCTTGTCGCAGAGCCGGGCATAGACTGCTGGGGTCAGGTGACTGGCCATGCAGTTGTTGTGCTTTCGGAGGTCTGGGTACTCAGCACTAGGGAGAGGGTACCAGTAACCATGGAGGGAGGGCACAGGGGGCCTAGACCCAGTGCACTCAGCTGGGAGCATGTCTGGCTTTGTTCCTTGGGAGGAGGGGAGGTTAGAGGGAGCTAAACCTTGGTAATCTCATCAGGGACTTTCAGGATCTATTCTTTCCCAAGAGTTCTAGCTTCCTCTGGCTGGAGGCTCAATTCTCCCAGACCTGCTCAGTTCTTTCCTCCCATGGACACAACATTAGGGATGGGGGGAGGGGAAAGACTAAGGAGGGGAATTCAGGAAACGGGAGAGAACAGCAGGAAAAGGAGATGGAGGAGAGCGGAAAGGATAGTTCCTGGTCTCTCAATTAGGAATTTGGGCAGGGTAGGTGCAGCCAGAACTCACAGGGCCAGAGCTGGCTTTGGGGGTGGGAACTGCGGGCTCCAAGTCCTCAGGAATGCTTTCACCTTATGGTTTTGGCCTCCATCCCCACCCCCACTGAGGTTTTCAGACTGTCCAGCGCCTGTACTCCAGAGCCTTCGTGACTATAGCCCTTCTCTATTGCCCAGGTCCCCATCTCCATCCCCGTTAGCAACTACTCGTCCCCCACCCCCACCCTCACCCGGGCGCCTGAGACACTGATACCTCGGGGGATACAGCCTCCGTCGTTCGCCGGCGGCTCGAACAGGTTCCGAGCGGAGAAGAAACCCAGCGGCTAGAGACCCAGCTCCAGCCAAAGCCAGGAGTCTGAGCCCCGGGCGGGCAGACAGGAGACGAGAGAAGGGACCAGCCATGGCTTGAGGGTCTGGTTACGGAATCCCGGAGTAGGAGCTGGCTCAGGGCAGGAACCGGGAGGGAGGATGCAAACAGGCTGACTGAGAGCCGGAGGTGGGTGCGAGGCTGGAGCCGAAATGGAGGGAGGCTGGAGCGGGAGTGGAAGCCGGTGCCGACCAGGCTGCAGGAGAGGCGCAATGAGCTAGCGGCGGTCGGGCGCAGGAGAGGGAAGCAGAGCTGCAGTCTCCAGGGGTGGGGCTCATGCAGGCCCCGCCTTCCCGCCTGCCACGGCCCTAGGTGTGCGGGGGCAGAGGGCAGGCACCACCCACCAGGTAGATTAGGAGGACTGGAGATTCGCAGCCCTAGGCCGGGGAACGGGCCCACCTGAGATGAGGTCGCCCAGATTTCAGCACCAAGTAGAGGACAGCACCCAAGGGGACAGGAGAGACCCGAACACCCTTCCCCTAAGCCTCCCGGTTTAATAGGAAACCCGTTTCGTCGCCCTGTGGGTGTGAAAGCGTGACACTACCCAACCTCTTCTCGTTTTTTCGGCCTGCCTCAGCAACCTCTCCATCTTCCCAGGGGAGGCGGCCTCGGGGAACAGTGGAATAAACACAGATACCAGAGGAAGACAAAGAGAAAGCACACAGGCAGACGCTGAGAAAGACACCAGCTGCCTCAAGGTCACCTTTTCCTTAGAACCAGGAAGAGGACCAAAGCTCCTCCCTGTCACACCTGTGCTCTCCTTATAAGGTTGTGGAAGGATTCCGGAGAGAAATCAGGGAAACAGGAACTCTTACCCCATCTGTGCTGTGTTGCCCGCCCCCACAGTGCCCCCAAGTCTGAAGCCCTGCTCTGTCCTTCCTCCACTTCTCATGATCCCCCACTTTTCCCCCTCCTCTGCCCTCCTCCCCATCTCCTACTTCACCTTTGATCTTTTACTTCTCAGAGTCTTTTCCAGGCTCCGACCAGTTTGCTGCTCACAGGACTCCCTCTGAGTATTCTCGGCAGGCTTGCCTACCTGTTGTTTGTGCTGGGCGTGGGGCTGGAGTTGGGCAAGGAATTATTATGCTTTCTTCTCCTCCTCTCCCTTCTCCCTGCTCTCTGTAGCTCCCAGTTCCTGAACTGAAGGAGAGTGTAAGGTGACGTGAAGGGTGTGGCGAGATGACGAGGTGTAGGACGGAAACAGGCAGGCACAGGTCCCCAACTGCCACATGTGTTTCCTCTCTTGGCTCCCTAATGCTGTTTAATCCAGACTGTAAGGAGCGGTGTCCAAGGGCATGGGGTCACCAAGGAATCTCTGCCTTCCACCTGGTCCCTTCTCCTCCTCCCTCCTCACAAGGTGCATATTCATATTTGAGAGGGCTTTGTTCCCATATCTCCAAGTGTGACTTGGGTATGACTTGACCTTTGTCCTGGTAGAAGGAGAATGAATGCTTGGAGCTGAAATAGAGATGTGGGCTTCAGTATGGAGGGTCAGTTAAGATGGGGTAGGCATGGTGGCATTAGCCCATTCTTTCAGGTATTGATGATAAAATATTGGCTCTCTGTACACGGATGCCGAAACGAGATACAGAGACAGAGTTTTGGAGGAGAAAGAAATAGTAGCTTTATTCTTGGAGGGAACACAGCAGGCTAGCACCTCAAGAACTGTGCCCCCCTCCCTGTGGAATAGGGAGTGGTCTTCTAGTCAGGGCTCATGGTGGGGGGGGGTAGGTGATAAGGATCAAGGCAGTGACTGGGCTTACGTTCTTCTGATGGGTTGGTGGTGAGGTAAGTAGGAGTCAGCAACATCAACCTTCAGGTTCCAGCTGCTCTGGCGTCTGTGGGCAGCATACCCACCTGGAGGGGGTTTCAGTATCTGCAAGACAGCTCAAAGATATCTTTGTGTGTGTCTGTTGATGGGGAACCAGGACCTTACCCCAAGGCTGCACTAACTGTTTCTCTTGATTGTTTCTCTCTTGTCTTGCATCCTCTCACTTCCCTGATTAACAACTGCTTGAACCTGCCTATTGGAAGTAGGGAAAGGTCATGGAGGCTGAATGAAGGCTATTTCCTGTAATCAAAGACATGGGGGACACAGAAAGTCTTTGTGCCCAGGAGCCCCACAGGGCCCTGCTCAGTATCATTACCTTGGTGAACCCACAAGACAGCAAGATACTTGTTAATCTTAAGGGAGAGGATCTGAGAAAAAGAAATTCCCTTCAAGTTGTCCACTGGCCTCACTGATGAGACCCCACTCCATCCCTTTACTCTCATTTCATTCATTCCTCTCAGGCTTCCCTAGTGCTCCTTTTCGTTTCTTCCTCATTTGTGGGTAGCCTTAGTAGCCAATTACCTCTCTTCCAGGTCCATCAGTTCCTTCTTCTCCTGGTAAGAGAGCAATAATCAGAGAATAGATGGAGTTCTGCAGTTGTGTTACCTGAAAACTGGGTTCACCTTTTGGTGGGTGTCAAGCCAATAAACCCAACCAAGCCAAAGATCAGGAGAAGGAAGGATTTATTATTACTTGCCACAAGTAAGGAGAACACCAGGGATCTCTCCCAAAGCAGCGTCTCCCCGAACAGCAAAATCTGGGAAGTTGGGCTTCCCTGGTGGCGCAGTGGTTGAGAGTCCGCCTGCCGATGCAGGGGACACGGGTTCGTGCCCCGGTTCGGGAAAATCCCACATATCGCAGAGCGGGTGGGCCCGTGAGCCATGGCCGCTGAGCCTGCGTGTCCGGAGCCTGTACTCTGCAACGGGAGAGGCCACAACAGTGAGAGGCCTGCGTGCCGCAAAAAAAAAAAAAAAAATCTGGGAAGTTTTCAGCTAAGGATACATGCATATTCATGAAGGGGTGAAACCGAACAGGACCCTATGGGGCTCAAAGATGAATTATTATGTATATCCTTTAAGAAATCAGGGCCCTGCCCCAAGACTGCACTGTTGTTTCTTGACTGCTCCTCCCTTGTTTCTGCATTCCCTCCCTTAAGATCATTAATTACTGAGACCTGTTCAAAGGCAAGCATTGTGGCCATACTTATATCACAAAATGGCTTAGGCCAAAATGGGTTCTCTTATATCAAGAAAGCCATTCCTGGTTCTCTTTCTCCGGTGACCCCCTAACCTACCTGCTTACACTAGGGACAAAATGGAGCAGGACGCTGTGCATCCCTCCCAGGTACAAATCCCTCTGTGTCCCTGTTTCTTGTTTGTAAGAAATAGGCTTCATTCAGCCTCCTTGACCTTTCCAGAGTTTCAAGGGCAGATTCAAACAGTTGCTAATCAGGGAAGGGAAGGGATACAGAAACACAGGAGGGACAATCAAAAAACTATAGTGCAGCAATTAAAGCAGGATCTTGGTTCCTCCCAGAGGAATATTCATAACAATATCCTTGAGTTCTTCTGCAGGAACTAACCCCACCTCCCACATGGAAGATGGTAACTTCAGGCTGAATAACAGAGTTCTGGAGCACCGCCCTGTTACCTCACCACTAACCAATCAGAAGAAGGTCACATACTTGCAGCCCTCACCCCAAATTTTGCCTATAAAAACTTTTTCCCCAAAACCATCAGGGAGTTAATGGGGTTTTTGAGAACAAGCCACCTGTTCTCCTTGCTCGACCCTGCAATAAACCTTTCTCTGCTCCAAACTCTGGCCTTTCTGTTTGTTTGGCCTCACTGTGCTTTGGGCACACAAACTTGCGTTGGGTAACAGAACTTGGAATAGTCTTGACCAGGGAAACCTGAGTGAGGATGCAAAGATAATAACAATACAAACATACACAAAATGCTTTCATATAATCAGTACCCTATGAGTTAGGGTTTTCTAGTCCCACTCTCTCACAGGTGACAAAAGAGGGGCTGAGGGAAGTTCAATGACTTGTCCAAGGCTGCACAGCTATTAAAGGCAAGAGGGCAAGCAGAGTGTGGAGATAGGAATCCACTTGTTCAGTCTTCCAAGTCCATCCATCGTCTTGTCTCCTCCATAAGTAAGTCTCCTTTCCTTCCCTTAACTTTCTGATTTGTTTCTGTCTCTTTGTCTCTAGCCTCCCTTTCACTCCTCTAGTCCATTAACATTTGCAACGTACATTTATTGGATCTCTACGTCTATCATATCCCGTTTTATTTTACAAAACGAACAGAAGACTTGGTTTTGTCCTCATGGAGGTGCAATGGCACAGACTCTGCCTCTTCCTCTACATCTCGCTTCCCCCCACTTCTTCTCACTGGAAATTCTCTGTCTAGACCAAGCATCTGGACTGTGGCGACGCAGTTAGAAATCAGAAAATGAACAACAGGTTGCACTTCCTCCCCAGAACCACTAGAGGCCACCATCCTCCGCGCAGAAGCGCCGGCCAACGCAGCCTGACTCTGCTGCCGGTGCGCGCCCTCCGCTGATTGGTGGCGCCGAAGAGAAGTCGTGCTTTGATTGGGCCGCTGTCAGGTGTCGCTGCCGGCAGGTTCGGGTGCGCGAGCGCAGGGAGGCGGGTGAGTGAGGGCCGGGGGCGGTGGGGGAGTGGCTGGGGGCTGGGGGCGGTATCTGAGGGGGTGGACTGGGTAGAGTGGGCTCCTTCGGTGCCGAGGGCCCTGGTTAGGAGCGGCTGGGGGCAGCTCTAGAAAGAGACCCAGCGGAGAGGCCTCAATGTCAGCGAAGGGAGAGTGAGGCGAGGAAGGCGGGGGCGGGCAAAAGGCTAGAGGAGTCGGGATGGGAGGTGGTTTTCGTGACCCGGAGCTGAGTGAGGAGAGCGCAGAGGAGGGGGTCAGCGAGAGAAGAGATGGGCGTGTGAAGGTCTGCGTGAGGAAGAGGGGGTCCTGCTGAGCCAGGGGAGTCTGCCGGGGAGAGGGTCAGGGCGGGCAGGTCTGTGTGAGGAGGCGTGGGAGTGGAGTCAGACCGGAGGCTCGGCTGGAGGAAGGGGTTGTTGCAGAGGAGAGAGAAGGTGAGCCTGGAGGGAAGGCAGGTTGGGAAGGAGTGGCTCTCAGACAGTCTGTGCGGGGGAGCATTGAGGGTTCCATATAAATTTGTTACCAAGTGTGGTGACTCATCTGAGGGTTTGAAAGGCTGTTTAAGGCTGGGGAGTCAATGAGCGACAGGATTAGTTGTATTGTTGATTGGATCGGTTGATTAGTGATGTAGGAGGGGGCAGTAGTTAGGGGAGTCAATGAAGAGTCCTTTTAGTAAGTTGGGGAAAGAAGGCAGTATGAGTGAGTTGATACCGAGAACAAGGGCATCAGCACAGTTCATCAGTGGCAGAATAAGGGTATGTATGAAGCATTAAAAACTGCATCAAGAAGGAGAGAAGGGGTCCACTGTTGAAGGAGATAGTGTTTATGGCCTGAGGAGTTTTAACTGTGTTGGAAGTATTCCCGCCTGACCCTGTACTGACCTTTCTCTTTCATCACTGATGGAGCCCTCCATCAAGTGCAGAAGTGCATGGTGGTTAAAGAAATTAGAGGATTAGGAAAGCGCCCTAAATTCTAAGGGATAAAAAAGTTACACAGTTTACCCTCCCTTCAGTCCCTTCTCTAGATCTGATTTAACATAGATGTTCCTGAGAAGATTGCCCACCTGCCCCTCCCTCTCTCCTTACCTATTATACTGTCTCCTGCTTCTTCCCCTCCCCTCGCTCCCTTCCACACTGATTCAGGCCCCAGTAAGACTGCCCTTTAGCCTACTGTAGAGTCTGAAGTTTAGAGTCTGAAGTTTTCTTTTGCAACAAAGTATTAGGGGAGAGGGGGAAGGGGAGAAGAGCACAGAAAACAGGGCAATGGCTCTTGGAACACCACATTAAATCCCAGCTTCTCGCAGAGGTACATCTAAATAAATCCTGGCTTATTTCATAGCTATTTCTGTCAGGCTTCTATTTCTGCTTTGTTAACTATGAATTTAGACCTTTCATCTCTCTTCAGCTCCATATTTGTGAACAGATTCTCCTTTGCCATTCAATTATCATCTCCTGTTATAGAGTTATAATAGAATTTCAAGAATGTGGCAGTGTACATTCAGTAGAAAACCAGGAAAGACCTAGTGGAAGAAAGTGTGGAGGGTTAGGAATCTTAGAGAAAGCTCCTGCTTCAGAGAAAGGATAAAGCGTGCAACAAAATTCTGCTTGCTTAAACTATACAGGGACCTTGGGAATGTCACAAGTCATGGAAATTGGGTCAGGTCACGAAAAAGGATTTCAAAGAAACAGGCTACAATCAGGAGGAGTGTGTATGTATAAGACCTGCAGTGTACAGCTGAAAACGTTAAGCCTAAGGAGAATGTTGTGCCCTCACGGTGGTTGAGCAACAGAGAAAAGCAGATGGTGAAGACTAGAAAGGTCAAGATCTATATAAAGA